TATATATATATATATATATATATATATATATAACTAACTGCAGACAGTACTGTTTCGGCCTTCTGGGCCTCATCAGTGCAGTGCTAATGCTAGGATGGGGGAGAACCGAGACGGTCACCCCAAACGACCCAACCTTTGTGGTATCGTCTAAGCCATGCCAGAGTGCTCAAACTAGAGTAAACCAGCGAGCATGCGCAATTGCAACGGCAATGACTCATCCTGCAGACAGTACGGTTTCGGCCTTCTGGGGCTCATCAGAGCAGTGCGTATAATTGTTAAATATTGAAGTCCACCTTCATAATCATACTTTCTCTTGTGATGTAACGGAACGACTAATGCTTTCAAGCGAAGACTTCAGTTCTCTCAAAGGACCTTGAAAATACATGAACCCAGCTTTTGAATGAGAACAAATAACATTTATCTTATCATCAAAATTATTCAGTCGTATCCTTCGGTAATGATCTCTTGGTGAGTCACGAGCAACTTGTACAAGAAGAGACATTATTTCTTCAAATTCTTCTGAAGCTCTTGAGGCAGAACGTTCGATGCTTTCCAGTACTCCCCTTGCCTGGCAATTTTTAGAACGCAGTGACTGAATTTCTACTTGCATTCGTTGCATAATTCCGTCGACCACTTTCTGATAATTAGGCGAGCTGATTTTATCCACGGTTTCTTGGCACTCCTTGAGGTCCCTGCAGTTGAGTTCTCGTGCCTTGATGATGCACTCCTCTTGTAACCTCTCCAGGTTGTATGACTGTGCAGTAACTAAAAGATCTAAGCACTGGTATGAGTTATATCTTGGATAACTTAACTCATCCATCAGGAACCCTTCGCATTTCTCGGTGAGCTTCTTCATCATATATTCCCTTGCAAGATTCAGCAGGAACGAGTAGTTCTTGTCATCGATCTCTTTGGCAGAAGTTGGGTAAATAACCAACAGCATCTCTCTTATCTCGCTCACATTCTTCCCTGGAAGTAGCACTTCGTCAGCTGTTTTCTCGCTGAACTCTGAAGTAAACATTTTCGAAAAATCTGGTGACCACATCGCCAAGATACTTCGGTGAACGTGAAATCTTTCCTCTTCCACCTTCAAAACTACATCGCTGAGATGCCATGGTTGAGAAAAGTCAAGCTGATCGTTTGTTAATTCTCCTTCCATGTCCTTTTCCAGATTGGAGAGCATTATTTGTTGTCGAGAATACGTCTGCCATTTGCAGGTGCTTCCGTTGTTTCTTGAAATCAGTTCTTTAAATGGGGACGGGGCTGAATAACGAAATGCTACGTCAGAGGGTATGCGGTCAACAACGCGGGCTCAAGCGTGCGAGGTCTAAAATTTAGCGAAATTTTTTAGCGGAAAACAATAAGGGGTGACATTTAAAAACCGAGGCATTTTGTTTTCGTGAAAGGCATTAAGATAACCATAACCTGCGCACCAAAGCAAGTGCAATAATCTCTACTGGAATAATCATTTGACCGATTAAGGCATCGTATAAGTATGCAACTGAAAATGAAAAGAAGAACGAGGTCGTTGAGTTTCCAGGGTAGGAAAAAGTCGATGAAATCTTGAGGGAATCTTGACCGCCATATATCCAGCCATTCTTAACTATTTGGAGACATGTTTGGCTCTTTAAACAGAGGGTGCTTAAGAAGTCGATATCGAGTTGTCGGAAAAGATTCTCAATGCTTCTAAAATTTCTCGGAAATAACGGGAAAATGGCTTCAGTGAAACGAAGTACAGTGACATAACATTTCAAAGCCTTCCAGTACTTCAACAGTATGACTGAAGTTTCTTAATAATAAAATTTGTTTACGATGAGGTACAGAAAAAGACGTAACTAAGTAAAAAACATGACAGAATATTTTTTATTCTTTGTGCCTGTCAGAGGAAGTCTCTCAGAGGTGAGGGACTGAGGGGTCCTTTTATGCAAGAGACCTCCTCTTGATCAATTAGCCTGCCATCCGCTAAGAACATGGACAGGCACCCCTCCCTCCCTCCCACAGAAAAATCCTGTCTACCCCACCCGGAGCTCTCTGGATAAATAATGGATCCCAAAGTAAATGCTTTGCATAATTACATGTTTGAATGAACAACGTGTAAAGTATTACACTTCGTGTCAGAAGCTGAATATATCCCAATTAAAGGGCGTGTAACCAAGATATATATTTTGCGTAGTGATTCTCTCACAAATTTAATCATCTTTGGCTAAATAGCCATGAAGCAAGAAATGAGACGATATGATATATCTCTCTCGACCCAATGCTAAGCGGAGGCAACTTTGGTATTATTTTCTTTTCTATTCTGAAAAATTCAATGCCAAAAATTAGCCCTAAACATCAATTTGCTTGTACAACATACCTCTTACTTCAGGGCCGATAAATTACTTCTCTTTCCTGTATTCAAGCCAAGCCTGGAAACTCATTTGCTAAGGTATTCTTTCAATTCCCCCTGTCACCAAATTTTGAAAAAATCATATTTATTGAATTATTTCTACAGTTGAAAGACATTTTCTAATCGCCTGAAAAAATATGCTAGTTGAAATATTGATCTACCACACTGTAACCAATATATTTGACATATTCAATTGGAGAGCAAAACACCCCCTTTTTCCTGGAGTAAACAAGATCTACTAATATCTAATAAAACTACACAGGTGATTATTCCTATATTTTTTCATTTTTTTAATAACATTTCTTACATTGTTATTAAATCTGAAAAGCCTCAATGGGAGAATTTAATAAAGTATCATAATAGTGCTTTTCAGGTATGGGCTGATTGGCTTGTGCGGGAGTGATTAGCAAGTACTATTCACCGCCGAGCAGCTCAAAAGACAAAATCCCGCATCACGAGTATAATTTCCGACCATATTTTGGTATACTGACAGAAGTAAACTAGTTTTTGGTTTCTTTGTGGTATGTACCAAAATAGCTATTCACTTCCACTTACTAAAAGAGATAACATATCGTTGCGTTGAATTCTGTGCCAGATATTGGATCATTAAAAACATCTGCACAGCCGCTTTTAACAATCAGTAGTCACTTGCCAGTCAGTTTGGCTTCTTTTACGTGAGTCCCTGCACGACCGTTCCAGCAGTATTAGCTGCGGAAACCTCTAAATAAAGAAACAATTGCTCGACACACACCTTTCTCCCCCGCATTCTGTGTAGATCTGTGCTTAAATACCACAACTTTTTGATTTTGCGGCGAATTTCATAGTCGACATTCTGTCATAGGGCAAGAGTCGAAAGAAGGAAAGGGTGAAAGTCAAAGTTGATCTAGAATAATAAAATAATGTCCTTAAAGGTAATTAGATACGATATTTTAGCGATTTCTCGTTTTCACGATTGTTTACTTAGCCGAACTATAATTTCTCGTGTTCCCTTCGATTGAAAGGCGAAAAGGTCTGAGAAGATGCGACACAGCTCGCTTATTGAAAAATGTTTACATTTCTCTTATGCACATATATTTTTTGCCATTCCTATCTTCAGACCCTTAATAGAAATCCTGTTTATGACTTGTTTGTCGCAATGGCGAAAATCACGATTATGCATATAATGGCAAGTTGAATCACTTCCGCGCATGTCAACAACAGCGTGTTGATTTGGCTTGATCTGGAAGTTGGACGCTTGAGGTCCCTTTAATCAAGATTTAGTCAAAGCACTAAGGTAAGTGTGTAACTCGAATTTCTCAACCAAATTATATTACAGAATTTTCACCCATTGAAGCAGTTTTTTTTTCTAAATGAAATTACACTGTCGACACTTTCGTGTAAACGTCAATGTGTAATGGCTTGTTCTTTTGAAAGATCGGTGCTTGGCTGAGTTGAGCCGAATTCTGAGGATTCCTAGATTTCGACGCAAAATTGTACAACAGCAATTTTTTTTTGAGCTCAGAAACCCATGTAGTTGTCATAATAGTTTATTTCTTCTTCCAACGCGAAATGAAAATAATCCACGACATGTTAACTTCGAAAGTAAAATCATCCATCCCAGATGTGCGGAGAAGGGGGGGGGACTCGCTTGAAACATCTGCAGGGGTGATGGCTTCACCTTTCAAAGGCGAATGATATGATGGTTTGTCATCTTGAAAGGTAAAATACAAACATAATCACCATCGATAATTTCCTGTGCTCACAATCGCATTTGTAGGCAGAACAAAGTACAGTTATGGAGTTGTACGGGTTCCCTCCTCATATCACAAAGACCACTTTCATTTCACTGAAGAGTTCTACTCTCCCGCTCTCCCCCCCCCGCCCCCTCTTCCTCTCGCTTCCTTCCCGCCGCTAAAACCGAGCTAAGACTAAGAACAGCTTTCCAATTCCATTGTTATGGCTCAATTTACATCTAATAATTAAACTTTGTACATATACTCATCTTTACCCACTAGTTTTCCCTTAAAACGCTTTAGGTTACAATTTTAAACCAAACCACCGTCTCTGGTGGACACTTTCCTATGAAAGAGGGTTTGAAACGTTATTTTATAGTGTCTCGTGAAATCAAGGCCATTACTTGTCTGACTTGTATTAAAAATTGGATTGTTAATTGTTACTGTGTATTTATACTAACCGTGCACCCACATGTCACGTTTTTATGCTGTAAAACTAACAAGTACCCTTGCATCTGCGACATAATTTGAAAACAATTTTCCTTCAAGTTGTTTTGGCTGAATCAATCGATCGATTCCACGCGAAACAACGATCCAAACAACTCAGTCAAAGTTGAACAAGCGTGCTCGGAAGCATGTACGGTTTTTTTGCATCGAAAATTGAAACAGACCATTAGCTCGTGCCAGCTTTATAACATAATAAGATCTGAATGTTTGTATTTACTTTACTGCTTTTCACATTGCAAGTCGTCTTTTTTAACACCTAGCATAAATTCTTAAAAGAATTTGCGTTCAGTTATAATCCTTTAGTATCTAGAGTTTTATCGTTCATAATTTATCTGACCCCCAACCTTTCTACCCGCGATCTGCCAAATGAAGTGAAACCTCTGAAAGGAATCGTTTTAAACTAAAACACTTTTGCTTTGAAATTGTGTAGTATTATTTTCTTACGTATCTGCTGCAATTATGAAAAATGATAAATACCACATTTTAAACCAATATTACCCGTCAAAATATTCCTCGATACAACCTTGTCACGCTCTCTGTTGTTCAAACTTAATGACATAAAAATGACAATTTGACAACTGACCAAGACTAGAACAGCATGCTCATTCTTGTATGCAAAGTTTTACTATAGCCGTGCCTAGTATCATTCCGCGGAAAAATTCCACATTTGATGTTTTGCTTCTTCTACATTTACTCTAAATTCGGCTGCAGGAAATGGCTCCAAAAGTGATTTGATATTTTCAACAAAGCTTCACATAAATCGTGAAACCTCGCACGAACAAAACTACTCACGTGTTGACTAGTTCCCAGTCTTTTTATCTCAAGATGCGATCCAAAATTTTTGAATTGAAATTAGTCGCAGAGCAAGTTGTCAAAGACGGACGCAACCAAAATCCCTCTGAGCTGTTAGAAAAAAAGTATTTTTTGGAAGGTTGCAATGTATTCTAAGATATCCATACAGCGAAACACTATGAGGAGATATGAAGTGATAAGCGATTCTAGACGAAGAAGTTTAGTTTTAAGGCCGGCTACCTTGACTCAGGAAGTCTTAAGCCGGGCAAATAATCTTAGGCGACTTCTTCTTCAAGCCAGGATGTCTTACGGTACGTTTAAAACTTAATCAAGAAATTTTCCATCGTTTAAATTTTATGAAGACTCGAAGGTCGTCTCAAAGCTTTAGTTGGGCTAAAATCCTAATGCTTAGGATATTTTTGAAAATATTTCTAATGTAGCTTGCATTTTGTTTCCAAATGATATTCGGTTCGCTCACGAGAACTTTTGGTCAAAAGTAGCAATTGTTGAATCCAAAGAGGGTCGCATCGCATCCCAACCAAAATTTTTGTTTTCCTTACCTTAATGAATTTGTCTTTTTACAGCTCTACACATGTGGTTACGTAACCGTCATAAAGCGACTCAGCCAAGCGAAAATCGTTCATTTCCTCGAATGGCTGGATCCCCAAATAGCATTCATCAATCAAACTAGCGCCCAACCCATATTGGGATCCAAAAATATTTTTCATGTGACCCTAGGGTTTTGTTTTAAAGTTCCTGGGTCACGTTATTTTTCAACCGTAGAGTTCAACAAAAGTAGACAAGCTGCTTTATAACAATATTGAGGTATTTTTAAGGGAAAATATTTCGTAAAAAGACGTGGACATGTTCATGCCAGGGCTATTCTTAAATATTCCGCTTTCCTTGCGTTACGCCCCAGGTCGAGTCAGTTACCAAACACCGCCACATGCGCTTATCACTAATAAATAGAAAACAGATCATGGTTGAGTTTGCTAACAAAATTTTTTAGTTTCATGTGGAAAAAGATAGGAAACAGTTATTATCGGCTAGTCGTCTAAATGTATCAGTTTTTTAATTTATTTGCTGCTCATCATGAATCCATGAATCTGTTTAGGTTCCAATTTTTAATCAAAACCATTTGAGGTTAGGTTGAGTTGCTTTAAATCAACCAATCACTGCACAGGATCATAAACATTTCGAAGGCCACTGTTTTGTAAATGATATTACACAACGCCACAAAACTGCCAGTGACAAATTTTGATGTATTTATTCTCATACCCATGTATTTTCACGTCTTTTTTCGTTTGTTTATCTTTCCAACTTGTTACAGCTTACCGCTTGCATTTACTTCAGGAAGTTCTTAAAAAAACTTCCTTTAGAGCTGACCTCGCCACGGCTCTTATCCCAACAAAACCGCCGCAAACTCGGCAAACGTGCTGAGATGCACACATCGGCCAAATGGGCCTTCTGTGTTTAAGCTTTGGCCTCTTCCCCGTCCGCCTGATAGTCCAACATGATTTGATATTTATTTCAGATCATACTGCTAAATATTATAATACGATGTGACCTATTTTTTTTTTTCGTCAGAAAATCCGATCTACGCGTGATTAAGTGCTCTTCCAGCTGTGCAAAAATTGAACAAAAACTGTCAAGTTATCAATTTCCTGGATATTTTTCGTGTCGCACATTAGAATTTTTCAGCAAAGTCTGGTACAATAAATGCACCCATGTGAATTTTATCTTTTGCCAGCTCTTTGTCTCCAGAACACTCAAGAATTTAAATTTGTTACAAAGCTAAAGAACGTTCGAAACGAAATTCGGATAGACGTGCCTCACACCTTTCCCCTGAGTAGGCGTTTGTCCTCACAATGGAAAATAGTTACCGTGCTCCTTCTCATGTCTTACTTGAGTCTCGTTCCCAATCTCTTCGCTTCTCTGCAGTATCCGTGGGCATTTTCAAGTCTTCTTAACTTATAAGTAAGTGTAATACTTAGTACATACATCTTCATTGCTTTAAGTTATCTTTGCTATATAAAATTACAAAACAATCATGGATTATCTCGGTGTAAAGGTAAGAGAAAAAATAAAAAGGCAAATTTGTTTTAAATCGAAAAAAATCAAATGTTTTGAATTCGAATAACTGATTTCAGTCAACGCTTAATCCGAACTTTACTCCTAGATCGATTTGTGAATTAGAAACCAAATTTCAGGAGTTGTAACTGCAGAACATGGCAGCGTATTTTGCTGGAGTCTTTAAACTACAGTAAGGATTGGTACAGTGAAACTAACAGCCCAGAGACGAATCATGACGGTCAAATACAATGCACCGACTGACACAGCATAATTGCGTTGTAACAAAGAGATGTAACCACCGTTTTCTTATGATGTAAATAACAGCAGTGTTTAGAACTCAAGTAGGCGTTCGAGGCCATTCAACGGGACCAAATGCTTCTAATTTTACGCGCCCGACCAATCAAACGAACATCAAACGAACAATTATTTCTGAGGCAAGTTATTGTTATTCTGGTTAAGAGCAAGATGCTTAACGCTTGTCAATCGGAGGAGCTTGTTTTACATGAGTCACCGCACGTTTTCTGATGATGGAACATTAATAAGGTAACATTCTCAGGAATTTTACTTGGCGGCCCGCGCACTGCTTGAAAGGGTTTTTATCTTATTTTTCGCTTTGCTGTAAATTTGAAGTTCGTATTTCGGCCACATAGCAGAGAAAACTGATAAACTAATATTTCAACCAGAAAGAATTTTCATTCCTGAATGACGTTTTTATGCCAGGTCCTCTTATATTTAACTCCTCTTAACTTAGATCCGTTGTTGAAAGGGTCAGATTAACCTAGAAGGTTTGGACCTGTTTTTAGGTCATTAAAAATGTTTAATCTTGATTTCAAAATGAACTTTTGCCTTTTTGTTTATCAGACAATTGACAAAGTCCTTTAGACTCTTAAACGCAAAGGAGAACGGCTAAGGAGGCGATCGTATTTATCATATCTGTACTCTAATAATTTGAATAGGCGCACCAGAAGCACGCGATCTCAAACGCACAATTACAAAATTTTCTATGTGAATTTGGAAAATAATTTTGTTTCTGTCTAGTTTTGTTTTACCGTAACTGTCAAGAGCCCTAAATGTTGAATTTGTCAAGAATTTGGACCGAAAATTAATTAATTTCACATGTCAGTTTCCTTCTTCTTTGCCATTACATGCGAATTCACACGTCTTTCGTTGCGTATTTTTGTGCCCAGTCTCTGCGTGACGAAGCCGCGCTGTTTTTCTTTGAGATTTTAAGCTGTTAATCATGGACATTTGCCTCAGTGCTTTTCAAGCTTAATTGGCGCAGAACACATTTTGCATAAAGAAGAAAATCATTATGTATGCCAAGTTACTGTTACAGAGGAACAACACGAAAACGCCAAATGTTATCAGACATTCAAAAACGAGTCAATATATTTTCAAACCGAGTTTGAACTCACTGTTTCGACGGGGAATTTTGTCGTGGGAAAATCATCTCGGCCAACTTTTCCCTCAAGCAAGGACTTCCTCTGGTAGGTTAAAATAATACAGTTATCACAAAATGCCGCTTTGGTAACATTATTAGAGGTGAAACTAGAGGCTCTGTGTAGTTTCGAGGAGCTAAATTGGATCGAGCAAGAAGTTTTTTCGGGTTCCAGTTCGAAGTAACCAGACCAGTTGTTTATGTACCAGCCATATGGAACTATCACAAGAAATGATTCCTGAAGATAATTTTAAAACATTTTAACGTGTATTTGTAGACTTTTCCGTTTTTCAGTGTTCAAATATAGGTCGAAAAACTGGAAGTAGGAAATACTACGGAAGGAGAAGCGGTCGTAGTTTCTATGTCGTCACCTTGAGAACAATCACTCTTTCTCGGGAAGAAGGGAAGCGGAAAATATCCTTGAATAATTGATGCTACCTTCTTTCAGAAATAAAAAGTGTGGCGAGTAATTTTAATTCTTCAGCTCGTACCTCAGTTGAGATTTAGGACCCTTTTGAGTCAGTAAATTTCCGATTTGTTCTGAGTCTTTTCAGATTACCCGGATGTACTCGTTTTCAGTTTTAAAACAAGCTGCCGTTAGTATAAGTCCTGACATTAAGCTAAGGCTCCTGAAAAAGAGAAAAAAGGTTAATAAGAAAGAATGTCATCATAAAGCTTAAGATAATGAGAAAAGTGAAGGTTGCTTTGAGTCTAACAGAAATACGAGACTCTAACCGCATGTTATTGACGTTATTTATTTCACTTCTAGTGATTTTAGTGTTAATCTACCAAGAACTGAAAAAGATAATTCCTCCGGAAACCTATGTCTTAGATGACTTAACAAAAATATCTCGTAATTTAAATGCATTATAGAGAAGGGGGGTAACGAGAAAAATGCAAAAAAAAAAAAAAATGTAAACTAAGTGAGTATGTTTAAAGATTTATCACCAAATTCTATGAGCAAAAGGTCTATGAAAAGTGTACAGTGGAAAGTGAAGAGAAATTATATTTCGATATGGGTAGTGTATCGTTGTTTAGGCTTATCCAACAAGGTGCTTCCTTTAAGGAATCGCTAGAATTTAACAGCTGTTCATGACCTCCGCTCTACGCAGCAAATCATAACGGGCGTGGTTTTTGTGTTGCATTAAAACTTGTTTGATATGCTGCCAAAAGTGAAGATATTTTTTGTTTCTGATTCGTGCGTGCGTGGGGACAGACACGATCAGTAGTGAGCTTCCCAACAAAACAATTTGTCGCATACTTTGCTCCGCAAACCCAATATTTGAAAATGTAGCTTTTTTTCGTCGCATTTTCACTAAAAAAAAGTTAGTCAGAAACGAAAATGTCAACCTTCCAGTGGAACAAATCCATTCAGACAAATTCTAGTTAAGTGAATATGTGTCAAACATAACCAATTATAACCTATTTAGGAGATCAACAAACACATTCCAGATATATTCACATACTTTTTCTGAATTTCGGTTTGGGGTATTCTCATGTAATCATAAGAAAAAGAATAATATTCTTGAGGCCTTCTTCGCATGCGACCAACCTCCCTTATTCTTTCCAGCCTCGGATTTTGTCTTTCCCCCCCTTTTTTTTGCTTTTGTCTTGTTGTTGTTGTTGTTGTTGTTGTTTTCTTTTTTTGGTTATTTTTGTCTCTGTTTTGTTTTTCTGCTTTTGTTTTTTTTTTTGGCATTCGGATAAGTCAATTTATGATCGCATAGTTTATTTCGCTCAAGGAAGAAGTAAAATTACTCTGACCAATAAAAAAAACAAAAACAAAAACAAAAACAAAAAACAAAACGACTTGCTTAAGTAGTTCGTGACCTCTCGTGAATCGATGCATGCATGCAACGAGATGCACGTGTGCTTTGAGCCTCGAGATCAGGTAGTCTGACTCCTTTCCAAGCCCCTTTGATTTAAATTGCTTCTCACGGAGAAGACTAAACACTTCTTCAGCAAAATGGCGTCGAGACGGGTGTTGTTTATTAAGCTTATTGTGAGAAGAAAAAAACGTAAGAAAGTTGATATGATTTAGCTACGTTAGTAGCCAAGTCGTATTCAAATCTGCTAACGAGCGAGGTGTAAAGAATTTAGGGACGTAACAATTTATGAGACCAGGAAAAGAACTCTAAAGGTGAGACTTACAAAATTTTGTTTGTCGTTTCAAATCGTTCACGTAATAGAAACAAACTTGCAAAATCTTGCCCGTGTTCAAAACCTAGTTGTCTCTCTTTCCGATACGCACTCTTACTTGATATACGCGATATTATACTAAATGCGAAAGCTCACGAATTTGACGAATCAAGGCATAAATCGAACTGTCTTAGAGAGATGTGGTGTTAAACCTTTGTATTGAGGACTTTTGAAGGGTTTTGCCACCCAAACTGTAAAACAATTGTAGTTTCTGCATTTTCTCTAAGTAGATGTTTATTTATCGTTGTCTGATAATCTTGTGCAGGTGCTCAAAAACTGAGACAAGATTGAGGACTTTATTGCAGTAAATTGACCAAAATTCATGGCTCACATATTTCGTAACATCCGCTAACGTCGGCGTACGTTCGATTGCTTTTGTCAAGGTTCGTGTGCAGGAGACAATTCTTTGGCGTGTAAAGTCACTTAAAAACCGTCAAGTGTACATGTTCTCTAGCACGGGTGATTTGTTTTAAGGGGTTCTTCCGTTTCTCTTATGCTCTGAGAGAAACTGCACAGCTGTATTAACATCTGCTTTCATCGTATTTCTGAAGTTTAAGAATCTACATCCAGTAAATTTTGAACTGACAATTTCTCTGTATTCCTCACATCTTAAAAACAAATTTAACCTTCCTCGCCTATTAACATATACATGTCGTTGCTCACGTTGCTCTTCTAAGATACCATGAAATTTTATTCTTGTTTCGTAACGTATCTGGGGAAGTTAATCGTTTTATTCTATTGCGGATATCAAGAAATTAAGATGACATCATTTTTATGAAAATTCAATGATAATGACGACAGCAACAGGCCAAGCTGAAATTATTGCAAATGTGTGGGGAAAAGGATACTGAGAACAAACAAGTTTTCCTGAAAAGAAATTACACATACAATGTTACAGTAGACTTTTTTTACGGGAAACACGTTGAATGTTACTTCTGAATCAAACGTACAAATTTTTCGTAAAGAAAAACATGCCTCTAGAAATGAGAAGTATGGCAAATGTGCGCTCTCTTCGAAAAACAAATTAACAACTCTGCTTGCTGCACGCGTACGCGTGCACGTATTCAAATCACTCAGGAACTAATCACAAGTTAAGTTCATTTCCTCTCATTTGTAATCGTGACGAAATGAACGTTTCCTGATCAAGTATATAACAAAACTAAAATTGCTTCTAGTTCATTTAAAGGCTCTACAGGCATCGAGGTGTATACCGAGTCAGGTTTCTACTACGGAGGAACAGTTTGAAAAGATAAAGTAAAATGGGTTCTTGTAGAAGAAGTTTAATTTTGAGACGAACCCCGTTACGCGAGAGACAAGATTTAAATTGGGAAAATTGTTTTACATTTACTCATCTTCCAGCCAGGATATTTTACGGTACAGTTGATACACTCTCTAGTAATTATATTTCGAAATTTGACCTCTCGTTAGGACGAGACAACTTAGCTATTGCCTTCGGTGGCCGTTTCGAGATTTAAAAGGGTGTAAAAGAAGTTTACATAATTTCCAGTATTTATCTAAGATTAATCACTGTTCGAGAACATTAGACTGTATTCATAAGAACGAATTAAACTCGGAAATGTAATCTACAAAATACTTTACATTCATTTGAGTGATCGCTGAACTTATCTCGCGAGTTTGAAACAAAGTGATTTACTTCTACAAGTGAGAAAAATTTTAGTCCCAGCTAATGCAGCATACAAAAAGAGTCAGTTATAGAATCGACAAACTTTACGAGTTTTGTGAGGAATTTTCCATATTATAAAAGTTCAGTCCAAGTCATGTATCGAAATTGAAATCTTTCGTTATCATGGACTTCGGTCGCTTCTTTCTCTCTCTCAGCTAGAAGTCAGTTTCTTAAACGTTTTACCCCGTTGTTCATTTTGTATCGATTGTGATCCGTGGTCTGCGTGATCGTAAAACAACAGGTAGAAATTAGACGACCTGCAAAAGATAAATAGATTCTTGATATTTTTGATGCAAGTCAGAAAAGTTTTTGATAAAAATCAGAAAAAAACGCATCGCTCATGTTTGTCAATACTTCGATCTTGAAGTTCGTGTAACGAAAAGAATTGCAAAGATTGATCCATTGAAATGTATTGTTTGCGAAATTTTGGAATGGTCCCTGCAAAAACTGCGATAGTCTCTTTCGATTTTGTTCCATTACAAGGGTGATTCTGAAATACAAGTTCACAAAACGTTGCAAATACTTTTTGGTAAACGTAACGGCATTTGAACCGAAATAATAAATATTTCAATTCTCTATGGATCAGTGTTTGCAGTCTAGATTGCATTACACCAATAATTTGGACGAGCTTTTCGTGTCCTTCGCTGAATTTACGTCGTCTCCGGTGTGTTTTAGCTTTTTATGAAGACGTTGACGAGCGTGGGGAAGGGTTGTGCAGCATGGGCGTCCAATAAGTACAGGACGCGGCATTTTCTCGGCGCAATAAGTTTACACGTTGGTCGATGTATGACGACCGGCATGTCACATTCAGCTTGCAACGACGCGAACAGATAGCGTTCTCAAAGCCATTAAAAACTAGATAGTGTCTAATATTCCGTTTCGAGAAGAGCTTTTTAAAGGGCATGTTTCTTGAAATCGGGGCTTAAAGTGTTTAAGTCGTTTCTTTTTCCCCCGAACTTATACAGTTTCTTGATGGCAAGCCTCCATGTTTCTCGGCCCAGATCGTGTTGATGATCCCTTGCGCACTCTAATTTGGTTATATCAACGAAGTTGAAATTGTAAATTGGCTACCTTGCGCACTCTGCTCGTTTAATGACTTATCCAAAAAGCTATTTTAACGCAAAAGTATTCCAAGCCGATTCCTCTTCGAGAGAAGCTCTCTAAACATTTAATTAAGATGATCGAGTCCACCAACAGAGAGCTTGTTTCACCTATTTCATAACTGCATTTGAACGGAACGCCTCTCCAACTAGTGCGCCAACGATACAAACACGTAGCGAATGAATAAATCAACAAGACCGTCAAATCGACAAATAGTGGGCACTGCCTTCATCGTTCATATAATTCCACAAAGTTGCAAGGTTGGTTTGGTGAATGGATTTCAGTGGCTTATTCCTTCAGAGCAGGCTTTACGTAACATTTTCGCGGACAGAAAAGACAAGAAGCGATCACAGATGGACTTTCTTTACCCCGTGAGTGAATATGGAAAATGTTTTTACTCCAAGGAGGAGGCCCAGTATTTTGTACCGAACTCTCTACTCCCTGAAGCTGATTAAGAAGAAAAAAAAAGTTCATCACTTACTTGGAAGTGGGGGACTAGAAAACCTCCTCTGGCTCGTCTTCAAATACAAAACGAGAATAGATTGCTGTTCCCCTAAATTACGTATTTTACTCTTTTGAGTCATTTGGAGTAGTATGGCAAAACACGAGTTTTATTTACGACATTTTCATTCTCCATTTCGTGAAGAGGAAACGATGGCAAACAAGGAATAGACACCTTGATATATTACAGCAGTCTGCAGCGACATTGCGGAGACTTTCCCTTTGCATATTAAACTGTCGTTTCTGCTCAGACAGAGATCTCATTTATTCCCAATTACCGCTTGTGGTCGGCTTTTTAAAATAACTTTCTTATTGACTGATAAGACAATAACTTAGAAGTATATATCGTGAATCTTTTATTCTTTTGAGGTGTTCGAAGTCTTGTTGATCTTCTTTATTAACGGTTGCGTCTCCCATCCCGCGAGGGTAGCCGGGACGGAACGGTGACGTAACCATCAAATCCGCGGCACGGGACGGGACGGGACGGGACGGGATGCAACAGGCGTCTATCGGGACCAATCAGATTTTACGTTGATATGTGAAATTTGAAGGGGTCATAATGAGGAAAATATTAATTAGAGCTATTTTTAGAATATTTTACTCTAATTTGGGAACAGAGCTCAGCTACCTTTGACATGGGAGGTCAGCCGTGAGATGTAGTACGTGAAAAAGAACAACTCTTAGTCTAGCACTCGTCTTCTATCAGAATAATAATTTTTTTGCCATCAAAAGAAAGGGAAAACGTAAAAAAATAAGTAAAAGTGTATCACGCCATTGATGCAAACGGGTACATGAATTTATCATAACAATCAAACTTCCTGTTTTGATAGGTGATCTTTAATTCAAATTAGCGCCGATGTCTTCGCGTGGGCGGTCAGTAAAAGCGAAATACAAGTGTCCGTCTACTCTTGGTGAAACCAAAAACTTCGTGGGGCATTTAAACAAGCATTCGCCGCCCAAATTTTCCAGTCACTCTCGACGATAGTCAGTTCACCGCGAAATTTTAGCAAAATTACTTTAATTTCACGGCGTGTTCAGGGCTTTTAACCTCGCGTGACTTTTATGTATTGTTTACATTGTGACGTATTTGCATTACGTTCTTATTCAGGGATATCGTTGTCAGACACGTACAGGCCAAGGTCTCTTGCCCAATTGCCCAACACAGACATTGCATATGAAAAAGAAAGGATTATTTTTATCCTCTGAGCTTCAAGAGGCTATCGTAATTTAAAGAAAAGCCTTCCTAAAAGGATTTATCTCCTCGATGGGTCTTGTTCGAGAAACATCTATCGAAAACTCACGTTTTCTAAACAAACGCTTTGTTGTGATCACGTGTTATGACTGCGTGTGTTTACACGTGACTTAGTGTGTGACATGCAGCCGGAGAGAGTGACACTATTTAGTTGATTCTCCGATTGAATCTAAATTTGTTTTGTTTTACTTTGGCCAGGCTCGTTTCTCCGAATGTCCTGCGTTAAATCAAGTAACAGCAACATGTTGTGCGATTTGTGCAACGAGAAAGCAGTGACGAGATGTCCACATTGTAAAATTGCTCAGTATTGTGGCCCGGAACATCGAAAGAGCGACTTGAAACTTCATAAGAAAAGGTGTATGGGATTGCCTTCAGTGGAACAGGAACGACAATTTAGGGAAACTAAATTAAATGGTTACACTCAGATAGACTTACTTCAAAACAGGTTTTACGAGCGAGCGAAATATGTCGTGGATACATTGAGAAAACAAGGTTACTGTTATCTAGACGATTTTCATGGCGAAGTCACTGCTCTTTCAATCCTCAGCGAAGTTAAGAACTTACATCAAAGGGAGAAGTTTACAGACGGAGAATTAGTTTCTTCGAATGGCAATGGTAGTATGTTGAACAAGAAAATACGAGACGATAAGATAGCTTGGATAGATGGCAAAGAAGAAAACTGCCAAACCATTTCGCATCATATGACAACGGTGAACACTTTGATAAGATACTGCAATGGACTTATTGATGAATACGACATAGAACATAGGACAAAGGTAAGAACGTTGTCTGTGTACGGTACTTTGTTCGAACGTAATTTATTACGAGGACATTGCACATGTACACATATTAAATTATTTCATCGATTTGATTCCCACAACACGCATACTATGTTAATCTCTCAGACGTTTTTCCGCCTTACGCAGAAAATTCTCGCTGTACTAATGAGGGGTTTAAACTGTTAATCTATTAGATACACTAAAGTTTTCGACCCTGTTCGCAATTTTTACGTAGATAGAGATCTAAAGAGATGAATTTTATGTACTTTTTTTCGAGTTGAAGGCATACTTTTAATTTTGTGCACGTAATTTGAATTTCCTGCAGAAGGAATCCATGGTTGTCTTCATATTTAGCTTCTGTCGCTCTACGTGCGTTCAATCACGTACTTAACTCACCGTTCCACGTGACCAAATTGAACAACAAAGACAACACAAAAATAAATTTTCTTGAAAAGTGTAGTTCGTGAAATCTTTAGCCAAATGTCCAGTGGGTCCAACGACATAATCCCTTTACAGTATCATAAGCAATACACAAAATTCCTTCGCCAAGGTCAAGGGTCTCGAGATTTTAATTACACAGTCAACAAACTGGCTGAAAAGTATTTTGAATAATTTCACTCTTGGAATTTTTTTTTTTATTAAGTTTTCTTCTGGAAGATGGATCTTAACTGTAGCTGTGACAATTTAAGTTTCATTTTTTCTTCCAAGGATATTAATGTTTATCTCAAACTTGAAGCTTGTAGTTCCAGACTGCTTCCGAGTACAATGATAATTATTATTATGCATACTTGTATAATAGCTGGAGTGTAACCAGCTCTGAAGTAGTGCTGTCCATATGATTAATGAGTACTGATATATGTTGTCAATTTGTACCTGAGAAACAACAGTTTTCATATATTTCATAAGACAAGGGGATCATGTGTCTTTCACTCACTTTTGATTACTTTTAGGACTGTTAGGAAAAAGCATCACCAAACACTAGAATTCCATTTAGAATAAGAACAACGTGGTTGAACACTTCTAAAAAATTCAGTGTCTGAAATCAAGTTTACTTATTGAATGTATTGTCATCTTGTTAATTCAAGTCGAGATACATAATTTTTAAGACCATTCACATTGAGTATAATCCAGTGAATTCTAAAAAGTTTTAAGTTTCATAGGAAACTGATTTTTGGTGGTATAGTGGGCAAGTGAAACACTCTGTTGACTATCGACCAAATGTGGATAAACAGCTTGAGTAAAGTTTGAATAGGTGATGTTTTGATTATTATCCCGTCATATTTAGCAAGAAAAAAAAGTTTTATCAGAACCTTGAGTGTTAGTGGTAATGTAACAAATTTGAAATTGCATGGATGAATACACACTTTGATTATTTAATCCACAATTCCAGAATGTAGTTGCTCAAGCATGGAAAAAGATATACAGAATTGTATTTTGGGTTGATCACAAAAATTCCTCAAATATCACGTACTAGTTAAAAAGCTTCCTTGGCCTCGCATAATATTACTAAAAGCGAGATCTGACTTACCTTTATGCTTACATGGTTTTTTTTTTTCACTCAAAGCAGCAAACATTAGTGCGTGTGGATGTTTAGTCATAGCTTCCTGACCTGTGAGACATTTACTTGAAAACATCGCATTAAACTCCCAAAACTTTTTGTTTCAGGCAATTTAAGCTGTACTTCTTATTCCTTAGCTGGTTATTCCTTAGCTGGAATGTGTATGAATTTGGATTATGCTTTTCTTGAAGGTTCTTTCGATATAATGACTTGTTAAGGTTACAAGATCAACTCATTGAATAGGATATCTACACGAAATTAGAATCTTTGAATTAATCATTTTCAACCCAAAAGTCAAAATTCAGGTGAACTCTTACTGCTCTCTCTTTCCTTATATCACTTGACTTTGACCCCAAAGCCCCATCATGCACTTGAGAAAGACAAATCAAATAGATTAAATAAACGTGATACAGAATACCAAAACACGTGAGAAGAAGGGAAAAAGATGGCAGTACTTTGAAGGCAGAAGATGCTTTACTAGAGAGCTGATTCTTGCTGCAAAAGTCTTGGGAATATCATTTAAAATGATATAGCAATCCCAACAATTTGAGACTGGGTTGTTTAACTTGAGGTGTTTATCCTAAATTGATTGATTGTGTCGGAGGCATTATTCGAAGCTAAAGCCGTCTGTGCGAATACGCATGTAGCCTGTTTGCCAAAGTACTAAGCTGGTGTAGTATTCAATCACATTTGAAAAGATGATAGATATCAAATAAGCCTTATTTATTTCAACATATTTGTTGCTAATGATGTTTGGCTTAAGTTAATAAAACTCATCTCTTGAACAATTGTATTCTTGTCAACTCACCATTCATGTAGGTACATATTCTTCTTACTGTTCTCTATACATTTCCTACGACGTTGATAAGGAGAATTTGTTTAACAATCAAGAGCTTATTTAGTTGGTGATCATTTCCTTTATTCTCCTGACCTTAATGTGTGATTCAGGGGTGATATTGTAAGGAGAAATTAGATGCTAGTCACTCATAGGAATCAAAGGGTTGAAATCCAAAATGTAGTACACTATGTTAGTTTCTCTAACCTTTTTTCAGTGTGAGGTAGCCAACAATGAATTTCCCTTGTCACACAAATCCTCAAGCAACAAATGTTTCTCTCTTTTTACCCTAAAATTTGTAGATATTTAAATGAAGGCTTAATTGTTAATGGTGTGTTGATGGCTACATTCGTAAAGTTAGTCTTTGTCAGGTGACAAGGACACCTGTTTCTTTCATGGTGTCAAATCAAGAAGTTTAGTAATGTACTGAAGTCTGAACTTTGAAGGAAATTTAGGTAATAATTCTGCAAAATCTTGCAGAACTAATAGGAAAGTAAAATTTACAGAAAGAAGAACATTTAGTCACAACAGGTGCTAATTAAAAGCTTTTTCTTATTATCATTATATTGACCATCATTTGTTTCCTTCCTTGCTGGAAGCAGGCAATGGTGGCATGCTATCCTGGTCAAGGTACATGTTACAAAAGACATGTAGACAACCCAAATAAAGATGGACGCTGTATAACAACACTCTACTACTTAAACCCAGGATGGACAGAGGAGGTTAGTAGCTTTTGTATAAACATCAGTTTTTTGTAAGAAATGTAGTTTTTGGAAAACTGTGTATAGTACCACTAGAAAATTCTCCACCTATGAATGTAAAATAAGTCAGCATTACAGAATCGAGCCCATTGAAAAATGTCGCATGGGAAAATGCAAATAAGCTAGAAAAGAAAAAGAGGGCATGCGTAACTTCATGCAGGTATGTCAATCTGACTGTTAATCTGACTGTCAGTCATGTATTCCCCTGTGTATGCCGTGTTCGCAAGTATTGTTTCTCGCTCAGACAACTGAAACATAGGGCTATTCATCAAAGAAGAATAGCCGTAATCTTGAAGCTGAGCGATTTTTACATAAAACTTTACCAAAATCTCGGACCATAGACTTACTGATGACGTACTCTCTGGTTATCTTGGAATTGTTTTCAACGGCAATACTACACTGAAACACTTTTCTGTTTCGAAACTTCTGCGTTCATTTCAGTTTTTTCGAGAATGGAATTCTCTGAATATGGTCTCGGCTTATAGCTGAGTATTTTTAGTTCACATGTTTTAAGAACCCAATTAAAACAGACCGAAGTTTAGAGTCTCGGCTTATAGCTGAGTTCGGATTGTAGACAAATAAATACGTTAAGACAGGAAATGCGGCAGATTTACGAGGTTCGACCATCAATTTCGCCATGAAAGGAAAATAACATTTACAGAAATATTCCTTTTTAGCCCGTTATTGCTGTCAGTTTTACTTAACACGTCCCGAAAGTCTATTTACTTTTCGAAAAGCTTAAGTATGCGTTGTAAATTCCTGCTCCATGTATGTACACGCTCAGTTCCAACTCAGCTTTACCATAACAACACTTCGTTTCGTCACCTTCAAACAATACTAATTGCTTCAATTGTATCTCCATTGTCTCTGAACGGATGCAAAGCGAAATTTTACAACTCTCTTTTGGGAATTCGTCAATTCAGATCTTAAGAGACCGAAGCTGGCGGTGAGCTTTTGCAACCTCATTCTGCCTGCAAAGCATCATGGATACCCCACTTTTCCTGGGCAACGCTTTTCAATGGGCGCGATTCCGTATTGGGGGATCCAAATTTAGACCAAGAAAATAATTGTGTAGTGATGCAAGAATTCTCTGATCTGCGGTGCCTAAATGAATACCCTCTCTTGTTTTTTGTAATGTTAGTTTTGTGCTTATTTTTAGATGGCTTACTTCTTAATTTAAGGTTCTCTTTTAAGATATTACTGTATATCTAACTGCTCACTAATTTAATGACAGAAACTGACCATTTTGTTTCACAGAAAGGAGGTATGCTAAAACTTTATCCGGGAGGCAGTGAAGAGGCAGTGAAAATTTTACCCAGGCTAGACAGGTTACTCCTGTTTTGGTCAGATCGGAGAAATCCACATGAAGTGGAACCTTCTCATGATGTGAGGTTAGTTTGAAGCCGTTCATTTACATATACAATATACACGCAAGCTTGTTGTCAATGTCATTAGCCAGAGTAAAAAAAAAAAATGAGAACACAGACAAAGTTATTGTCACAACCCTTGCTACCACTCTTTTGATCAGTATACTTTTCTAAATACTTATTTACAATTTTTGTCATCGTCATGCTTATAATTATTATAATCCTCTTCCTCATTCCACCTTGTCACCATTATCACAGCATCGACACCACCTCTCTCTCCTCTTTCATGTTACCATCCCCAGAAAATTTTCCAATTCATTCTTATTTATTACCATTACACAGTGCATCTTCATCTTCATAGATTAATAAGTCATGCAACTTTGTTGGGGACAGTAACATGGTCCATGTATTGACTTTAGAGTGCTAAATTTAATTCAAGAAAGGGTTAAGTGTTTTAATGAAATGCTTCCTTATTTTTTTGCCTGTGTGCTTCATTAAGGGGTCAGAAGTTTCTCATATGCAGTTTTTGCTGATCATCCATTTGTTTTGCTAATAGTGTTTTTTCTATTTTCTTCTCCTTATAAGATATGCTATTACACTTTGGTACTTTGATAAAAATGAAAGAGCCAGGTTTAGAAGTAAGTGATGTTATTCTTCTTTGAAGTACTACTTACACCTGTACATGTATATTCAGGGTAAATTAGTGCTTTTATGCACATATTTCACATGTTTTTCTTACACTGGCAATTAATTTGTTTATTGTGTGTTTCAAGATTATCTGTTTTCTGGCTAGAAAAAAAAAAACGAGTTTTTCAATTTCTTAAAATCAATTTTTTTTTAATTATCTGTAGAAAAACAAGAAGAGGATGAAAGGAAAAAAGCAATTCTTAGCCAACAGGTGCAGTATTTAACCCTATATAGTCTAACACCAGTATTCATGTTCTTTTTAACAAAATGGTAAACACCACAGCGTACATTATTGAATTATGGATGCACACGGGAGGTTGCTAAGCACGAAAGAAGGGCAAGAGTCATGCGAGGCGATAGCTTAGAGCGACTCTAGCTTCTTGAGTGTTACCATTTGTTTTATAACATAACATCGATACATTGTAGCTAACGAGTTCCCTTTTATTGTACAAATCTTGCGTGACCAGAAAAAACAAGCGTGCGAGGAAAAATGGTCTTTGCATTTGCTCACGTCAGCAGCGTACACCCATGGGCAAATGGGGGACGCTAATTGACCAATCAGAGCGTGCGCTTTACTTTGGTTACGTTATAAATACTTTTGTTTATACATTTCCTTTGGTGCTGATGAGGAGAATTGGTGAAACAATCAAAGCATCTTAGGTTGTTGATCATTCTCTACATTCTCCTGATTTTTATGAATGATTCAACAGTTTTATTGTCAGGAGAAATTAGATGCTGATCACTCTCAGGGTTCAAAAGGTTACATCTTGCATTTACAAATGATCAGTTTTGAGAAACAATCTGAAAAAATGCCCCAGTGCTAAATTAAACTTTTTTACTGAAGAAACCCCTTTTGACCCACATGTAACTCCTAGAGAATATCAGAGCCGGTAATGCTATCCAATGAATAAATTACTATCCAACTGATTTGTGATTGAAAAAGGTATAGTGTTATAATAATAGTGATAATAATAGTAAGGTTTTTATGAGCACATTTAAGAGTCTCAATGCACTTACATAGCATAGTAAAAATAAAATATAACAATGATACTAACAGTCAGTAGTACCTACACTTCTAACAAAAATAAAGTTAAATGGGATAAAAGCCCAGGTAGTGTTTCACAATACTAAAAATAAAATAAAATTTCCGGAATAGGAATGTTTTAAGGGCAGATTTAAAAGACAAAAGAGAAGCTGCAGATTTAAGAGAATCAGTAAGAGTATTCCATAATGTAGGTGCATAGAAGGAGAATGCACATTCACTGTATGTCACAGAATTTATAGTGGGGACAGTAAGAAGTGATTTATCCCCTGGTTGGAGTTTTATCCAGTGTCAGAAGGTTAATGTCAAGCTCTTGCTTTTGTACAGGAAAATGGTAGCAAAGATGGAAAAAAAGATCTGGAAACTGCTGGAAGTAGTTGAGATGTACATACTGTTAACTTGTGGCAAGAATTCTCAATTGTAATGACTGAACCCTCGCAGTTTGGATCACAAAATACTTTGAAGACTGGTGCTTCATTATCACCCAGTGATGCTTAGAAGATTTGCTTTGTGTACTTCATTATGCCAAAATTAAATAAGTGATAGAAAAAAAGAAGAAAGTATAATTACTGACAACTTTATTTACTGTGCATTAATAAGCTGTTTCAGGCATTCAGTTAATAAAACTGAGCAAAATAGTAAATGGCGCAATGGTTGCAGCTAAGCAAAAATGATGGAGGTTTGGATTGTTCATTATGCAACTCAACCCAAACTTCCCTGTTTTTTCTTTCTTTTCACTCCTCTGCTGCTATTGTGCTGTTAACTATCAAACTTTGTTTTATGAACTGAACTGTCTGCCTAAAACAGATTAGTGCATCAAAAAAAATCTACCTCAAACAGCACTGAATGTTGTATAAATATGGTAATGTATAACTGTCTTAAGGTGGCTCTGAAATGAGCTTTGAGAAGAAATGTAAATGCTAGACATACAAAACAGCAGGGAAGAAAACATTGTTTTTGTGTTGAACACGGATGACTTCTTATTGTGATCTTTTTGCTTGCACTTTACATAGGAAGTCAATTTCAGAGGCACCTTACATTTTTGAAATCCTATACTTTTAAATGTTGATATCTGGTGACAGAATGCTTGTTTCTGTGTGTGCAAAATTATGTATAACAGCTGTATCAGAATAGAATATGGCAAATGTCTTGACTTGTAACTATCTGAAAAGATTTCAGTGCAATTGTTGCAGTTTTGAAGATTGGAATTCTTTTATTAATTAAGCTTTGAGGAAACTGCTTTCTCATAACTTAATTTGTGCAGAGGCAAAATTCTTAAATCCTACTATTTCATCTAACAAGGTTATTAAATAGTTTTCACAGAGAAGAGGGGACTGGCTTTACATATCATTAATGTTATTAATGACATGAAAATGCGTAAACTTGTCACAAAATAGAAACTTTTTAAGGGTACGGATAGCTACTTTGAAGTGATTACGTTGCATTTGATGAGTCTGACTCAGTATAAGGATTCTTTTTTTTGCATGATGACTCCTTTTGTCATTTTGAAGAAAACAATTTCAGCGTTAATTGACAGCTAAATTCCTTTGATAGTAGAATATCATACACAACCAGATAGATGCCTTGTGCATTTTTTACCAGTCTGTGGAACACACAACATTCCTTTGTGTTTACCACCTAATTCCAAACTTTTCAGTTGACAACAGAAGTTACAAATAGATAGCATTACTATTGGCAATTTAACTATGAGGCCCAAGAAAAACGTCACAATTTTAAAAACATGCAGTCATGTTCTTGATCTATATCAGCATGGTTATCCTTCACTGTTCTCACACTGTGTAACAGAAAATGAAATGGCCAAGGAGGTTTGACTGTAAGTTAGTACTTGCCTAACAAAGATTCATGTTTAGATAAATATTGGGATAGATTGACTGAATTTCAGTTTATGGCGTAGTTACCAAATGAAAATAACCCTTGACACTATATTATTATTAAACATTCCCTAATGTGCTTAAAGTAAGGAAGAATATGTTGGTTGGAATCCAAAGAGAGCAAAATTTATTGCTTTGAAAAATGGAACTTGAAATGTGGATATGGGCACCTATGTATTGCTTCTGGATTTTCCTGCTGTCCTGTCAAAAAATAAAAATTACATCAAAAAATTATTAAATAAATGTACTTTGAAACTAGCATTTCAGAATTGTAATTGCTCCCACAATTGATTTTGAGACTGTCGGAAATGAGAGCAGAATCTTCATTTATTTGATTCCTTTGCATGACTTGTTAGATCCTTTTTTTCCAAATCAATATCTGATTTTGGTTAATTGCCACTTTTATTTTATATAAAAAGACCAAAGAGTACACCATGGACCTCTTTCATATATGGCAGGCTTGACTTTTTTTCTTCTGCAATTAGCCACTGTTCTGTTCTTGAAAACATGTTTACAGATATGAAATTCTCACTTGAAAGTGAGGCTAAGAAGGCTTACTTGCATGCCTTTAAGATATGAGTGTACCATTATGAAAGAGATCTAGACTGAGATGCATCACCCAAAGGGTTTCAGTCCAACTGTATACCATTATTATACATTTGCACTCCAGGATATGGCCTCCTTATCTCCCTCTGGGAGGGAGGGGGGAATTATGGTGCATAATGTCAGCCTACTTTATGTCCCTAGGGAGATTAACCCAATTTTCTCTCCATTTTTCTCTTCTATAGACTTGTAGTTCTACTGATCACTTCAAAATTAGGTTTTTTATCAGTTCTAAAGTGAAATTTCCTCATGATTTAATAAAATATTGATCATAAGGCCAACACTTAAAAACCATCATGTAATGATGTTCCTTTTTTAAGTTGTGTCTTGTATTTACAACTAAATGGATTAATGTTGATGTATAGCTATATTTCTGATATTTAAATTCTAAATACCATAAGTTCAAGAAATGAATTGCAATGTGAGCAGTAAGAAATTGGGCATTTTTTGACGAGCATTGGGTTCAAAGAAAATGTTATGTTTCTCACTGGGTTAGTTAAAATGTTTGGAGTCTCAAATTGTATGAATGAAGTGGATGAAAGTAAATAGGCTGTATTAAGTTTTCTGTTTTTCTTAAACTAGGAAATTCTAGAGGATAGATTCTACTACCACTGATATAAGATAAGAAATCTCAATGCTATTTTATGCAGTATCGTAAGTGTTGAGTATTTGTTCACACTTCTGGGAGGGTTAAATTTTGTAAAGTTGTGCAATTGAAATCATGAACTATGTATATTGTTCCTTTGTACAATAAAAGAAAATATTTAATACAGTAACTGTTTAAGAGTCTGATAATGGTTCCTAAGGAGTCAATGGGCACTTTACATTTGATAGAATGTGCTGACCTGAAGCTATTTAGGTTGACAAATAGTAGGCCTATTTTTTTTTCAGTGTCCCTCTACTTTTTGTAAAATTTCCATTGGCAAGAAAAGGATGATAAGAAAAATAATCTCTGGTCAGACAGTGGTGGATGATCACAGGTTTCTCCTCTTGCTAAGACCACTCTTGTCAAGCTGTTCTGGTTTAGTACCCAAGTTACATCAAAATATGTGGGCAATGTCCACTAAATGGATACTTTGTTTATGAAATAAATTTATTCTCATTACAATTGCAGGGACAAGTCCCTGCACTAGTCAGTTGGCAAACTGAGTCCTCAGGTAAGAGATCCTTTTGTGTTGACTAAAAAAATTTTCTGTGACAAAATTTCTTTGAATTGATGGAAGAAGTGAGGGGAACTTGTAATTCATGAAATTTGATGTCCTTTCGTTTTTGAAGGATTTACCACAGGAAGTAGTTGCAGGGACTTCACCCTTGTGTATGACATCCTTAACAACATTTTCCTAACCATGAGAAAGTTATCCCAGTCCCTTAATTTTAGAGGAACTGGGGAGTAAGAAAGATACACCAATGGCAGACCATTTGGTAGCCTAGCTGAGAGGGGAGTAGTTCAGTATGTATGAGCCCACTCCCCCTTCCTTGTCTGCCCCCCCCCCTTAGTCAAAGAAAAGTGTAATTTACTGAATAAAAAAAACAACAACTTGACTTCCCCCAAAATGCAAAGACCCTACTGTAGGACTCCTATCTACAAAAAGATCCTTTCTTAACAATGGAATGAGAGAGATAAGGGGGATTTTTAATTTAGTTACCGGTAAGATGCATTTTATCAGTAGTTATTTGTTAAAAGAACTTTGCAAGTTGTCGGCTCTTAGTTTTTTGCGTCGTCATGACGACTGAAAACCAAAGCCGGAAGTGATCAAAAAAATACCGGGAGCTTAAAAAAAAACCCGTGAAGAAATAAGAATCCACGTTTTTCCTTTGCCTCGGGAAATTCCTTTACTGAACAGTTCTTGCCCCAAAGCTACTCGTTTTCACTTACCACGTGACCAAAAGCAGCGAACATTTTAGGAACGAGAGTATTGTCTGATCATTTTCGTCACGCACGGAATAGCATTGAGACAGAATGAAAGAGAAGACGTTGAAAAATGAACATTTTTAACCTGTAGATGAATTCGAACAACAGAAAAGCACAATGGCAACATTTTTTAAGCACAGGCAATTTTAATGTATGCGCAAATTCGCAATAAACCGGAACAGGAAATTAAATATTTCTCAGAATTGATGCCGAATATGTCTATAAAAAACGGACCAATGAAATTACCGAAAATATATGTCATACAAGTTAAAGTCATTCCCGTCATGTGGCATATTTCAGAGAAAAAATCAACCAGGACGAGTGCATTTCTCAGAACAGAGAAGTCACTGAAATTACGTTGAGCTCAGTTATAATTCTGCCTATTTCTCGGTAGCCTTTATTGTTTTTCTTTTCATGGATAAGAATACGTAACTCGCCCAAAAGTAAGTTGAAATTGCTACTATAGAAAGCAGTATTTTGTTGATTGCTATGAATTGAGATGAGATTGCCCAATGCCTTATGTCCGTTGAAGTTTTTACTTTAATGCCGTTTGTTAGATAAATTAATCTTTTGCGAACGTGTTCGATGAGCCTCGAAGAAGAACGGTAGAGAAACCGGCCAAGAATAGTGTTTCAAAGTTGAATAGTAAGCCTGGATCGTTATCATTCGACGGTCAACCATCCATGAATAAATGGCTGCCAAAAAATTTGACTCAATGTTTAGATAACCTTTTTGGGCAGGTAAGTGTAACGTGAGGGTGAAAAGTTAATGTCACTCTTTGAATGAAGTAACTGCATCCCGTACCCTTTGATTCTTACCTTTGGTTTTATACCGATAGTGATATGTTAACAACGATTTAGTAATACATAGACAGGTAAAAAAATCTCATCAGCAAAAAATCTCATCATAAACACTCCTAGAACTTCTCGTATTTACTTTTTACCTAAAATTCACAAACCTAACAACCCGGGTCGGCCCATTGTCTCGGCTTACAGTTGCCCTACCGAACTTATTTCCAGCTATCTAGACATAATTGTGGCTCCCATCGTCAAAACTTTACCATCATATATTAAAGACAGCCAACACGCTCTTCAAATTTTTCGAGACTTTAATTTCCTTGGCCAAAACAAACTTCTTTTCACCATGGATATTACGTCTCTTTACACTGTCATTCCTAATGGCGAAGGCCTTCTGGCCCTTAAACATTTTTTTGATCAACGTACTGTTAAGGAACCTAAATCTGAAACACTACTACGCTTAGCCGAACTAGTGCTCACACTCAATTGTTTTTCATTCGGAAACAACTTCTTCAAACAAACCAATGGTGTAGCCATGGGCACCAAAATGGGACCTAGCTATGCCAATCTTTTTGTAGGTTTTGTCGAACATCAATTTTTCAGCCAATACAACGGGTCCAAACCTGAACTCTACGGTCGCTACATCGACGACTGTATCGGCGCTACCTCCTCTACCAGAGAGGAGCTCACTCAATTCATAACCGCAGTCAATTCTTTTCACCCGGCTCTGAAATATAC